TTTAGTTTATTCAGCATATCTCGAATACTTTAAGAGCTGGCCTGACCAAATTTGTAATATACAAGCCAAATATACCTCTTATGCATGCCATAAACATATTTCTTATATATATTACCCACAAGCGATAACATTTGTAGAGCAGCTGAGTAACTTCAGGGTATTTGCTAGTCGGATCCGCACTAGTTATTTAAACAGGAAATGCTGCTACACCAATAACAACAACAACTGAATTTCAGAGGCAATTTGGCTTGGACAGTTGGTCGCTTAACGAGTGGCATACCTGAAATAAATATATATAGAAAGATGTGTGTATGCTTGGGCCCTTTGTGCGAAGGAGAGGTTTTTAATAAAAATGTCAAGATAGTGAACCGGCTGCCCCAAGCCGGCAATGCCGACAATGGCGACAATGAATTGCAATTTGCGAGCTGTTGTCCTTGAGTGGTTGCATCAATTGCTGCGCTCGCGGAATGCAGCGAAGACCTCTGGCGCAGGCGTTGAAGCTGCCACTTGACGGCTGCTTGGGAATATTTGTGTGATGATCGAAGAAACAGTCAACAGCGCTGAGTCTGCCAAGAACAGCTTCAGTCTGTGGGGCATTGAACTTCGCGCAAAGCCGTCGCCAGTAGCACGCACTTCATCCACTTTGTGCGGTTCAGAGTGCCAAACCACTTACGGGCATCGGCATCTATGGCTTCCACTCACACGACGCGCGTAGCCATATTGCTGGTCACACCCAGCTCACAGCTGAAGTGGTCAAACACACCCACCCAGCGGCCAGAGAATATGCTAATGTTAGAAGCGAATCGAAACGCAACCCACAAGAAATAGTTGAATAGCTAAAAAACTTGGTTCTTCTGCCAAAGTTCATTTAATTACAATAAAAGCTAGAAGCAGGCAAAACACAGTTGACCACAGCCAAGACTAGGCTGAAACTAGTTTTCAGTTTACGGTTTTCTGCCTTTTTGAATATACTTTTAACAGTTTTGCAAAAAAGGAAAGAACAAATTGTAAATTCACTTTAAATGCTTTAATATATTTTAAGAAAGTTTCTTAACTCTTTGACAGAACTTGGTTCTCTTTAAATGCGAACAGTCATGTTCATATTTAAAGAGTGTGAATCACTCGAAAAGTCGAAAAGATTATACAAAAAATTCCCCGCATAACAAAAAAGTTTTCTTTATGCATTACTTGAAATTTTAATTCAAATAAAAGCTTAAATATACAAAAGAAAATGTATAGCAGCCTGTGGAGTCTGATCCACGCCTACAGCTGCTAAATGCAATTTGTTCTACATGACTCAATACGTGTTCCATGCTGAGAGCAACAGCAAGATGTAGTTGACCTTATCAAAGCTAACTCTTTATGCAGTAAAAGCTCCAATTTGCCGAATCTTCAATAATATTTGATGACTTTTCGAAATTTGCAGAAGAAAACTAATTATATTTTTAAATTAGTTCTCTTTGTATAATGAATAAATGTTGTTCCAGAAAGACTTCATTAAATAAGAGCAATAAATTAAATAAATAAATAAATTAAATTTATTAATATTTTTAAATTAAATTAAATTAAATAAATAAATAAATTAAATTTATTAATATTTTTTATTATTAATTTACATCAAAATATATAGCATATATATTTTTTATTTTATTTTATTTTATTTGATTTCTTTATTTTTTTTATTAATTTTTCAAAATTTGTTTTCTTCAAATCTTAAATATTTTTCATGCATTTACCCTGACCTCTGACTTCTCACAAGAACTAAAGCTTTTGACTGGCTCACTTTAGGCATAGCTACGACTTGGTCAATCCGACCCCAGCTTAAGCCGAGCTGATTCATAAGCAAGCTCTACATATTATATATATTTTACACTCGCTTTACGTTCCATGATTTATTTTAAGACATCAATCAGAGTTTCAGCTTAACACAACAGCAAAAAGTCTTTAATGACAGCCTAAAAAAAGGGCTACAAATATAAGTTAAGACCTTCGAGCTGCATAAAATACTTAACACTGGGGCGTAGCTGTGCAAATGTTAACTCCGATTCAGCTGTATAATTTTCATTAATGTTTGCCGTTTTGCGATTTGGCAACAAAACGGAAATGGCGAGACAGTCGAAATGACATTTATGGGTCAAGGCTTTTGGCAGCTGTAATCAATTTGGGCACACTCGATTGGCTCTGCCTGAGCAGGGCCCAAAGTTCACCTGCAGCGTTCACACACAATTCCGTGTGTCATTGCACACCTGGCGCAAATATTTGCGACTCTTGTGTCCAAGCTTGAGTTGGTTTCAGGCATTGGCCTAACCTAGGCGCTCTGCAAATGCCAAGCACTTCAATATCCATTCAGTTTATATATATTCGAGTCTTTGGCATGAGTCATAGACTGCCTTGGGGAAGTATTTGTGATGCATTTTGTTTGCTTTAATTGGCTGATTTTTTAGCATCTCATAAGCAAAGACAGCGGCAGATGCGAGCAAATTGTGGGAATTTCATTCATGACAAACTTCAATTATCGCAAGAGCTGAGTCGACTCTGACGAGCAGAGCAGAAAATGAAACTGCTATCAATTCATGAGTTCAAGCTCCAACAGAAACGGAAACTACTGAAATCTTCAGGCTTACCTAGGTATTACAGTAAGACCATATCAAACAAGCTCTGCTATTTATGGGCATCAGAAATTATAGTTTTTATGCTCTTTAAAAATATGAAACTTATTCTTGTATAAATAGCTTGCTTCGTGCTTAGATAAGCCAGCAAAGCTGTAGCTTTAAGAGTTAGAGCAACAATTTATGATTTAGTTGGGAGTATCCGACTAGAAGCTACTCGGCATACACTGATTGGCCGTTGCCTAACCTAAACAGTAAAAGTCTGAAGCCAATAATTAGCCAATAATATCGATAAGTATGAGTTATCGATCAAATTGGTGCAAACTAAACGGACCTGGGCGATTCTAGAAATAGCTCGCTCTTTGGCTGTCTCATTGATAGAGCTATATATACATTATATACATATATATCACCATTTTCAGCCACGTCCACTGCCTGCTCGCTGGGGCCATCAGCCAACGACATTTAAAATTGTACTAAGTGACTTTGTTTTCGCTTTACTTTCGCCCATTGGGCAAAGAAGGCAACGCTCTAGGGGCCAGGCCCATGGCTCAGCACTTCCGTTAGCAGTCAACGCTTTCTTTTCGATTTTTGCTTATGATTTATGGCTTGACCACTTTGTCGAATGAAATCAAAGTTCGTCGTTCTGCAGGCACCGAAGGTGGTGGCAGGCTTGAGGGGGTCTAGGCTACAGCCCAGTTTGGAAGCCATAAAAAATAGCAAACAACTGACTAGGGGACCAGCTGCAGAGTCAGTGGCACAGTTGCAACAAGTTGTGGTAGACGCGAAAGTAAAGTAACAAATAGCAAAAAAAATATAAACAAAATAACAAGTAAGAGTGATATAGTAGGGTATGCGCGACTAGCAGATACCCTGAAGTGGAAAATCTTTAGAAATGAAAGCATTTAAGAGGCATTGAGCAGAGTAAGGCGAATATATATTCCAAATTTAGTGACATAGGCTGACATATCTTAAGCTTAATATCAATATTAATCGATTTTATGAAATTGTTAAGAGTTATCGATTATTTAAAACCTTAAAACTTGATCTTGAAGTGATACGACAGGAGCAAGAGCTCTTAGACTCTGCGAGATCCACTAATTCGTATATGCAGACAGAGAGACAGACAGACATCTAGTGCAATAGATATATAAATGGACTTCAAAGTGTATCAAAAAAACAATATGCCCTATTTATAGCTATATCATAGATTGGTAGTGTATAAAAAACACAGTTAAGAGCAGGCGATTGAGGAAAAGTCAGAGCAAAACACAGAGAAGAAATGCCAATTAAAAGGAAAAGCGAAAATGTGCAATGCAGCAAGAGAGAAACGTGCAAAATAGATGCGTTCAATGCACCCAGTGGGCGTGGCACGAGAGAGCGAGAGAGATGGCAGCAGTTGCTGTCAATCGTCAATGAACGTTGTCGTGAGTCATGGCAGAAACGCGTAGCGATTTGCATAAAGCAATCAGCAAAGCACACATACATATATAAATACATATACATATACATACATACATATATACATCTCCACACTTGGCTTGTGCTGCTAGCTGAAGCGGAAGTTGTAGGCGCAGAAAGTTAATAAGAAAACCAATATGAAAAGCCAAGCAGCTAGCATAAAGAAAAACAAGTCGAAATGGAATTGGCCTTAAAGCTGTAAACAAATTAAATTAGATAATCAAAGACATCATTTTGTAGACACTTTGAATGTGCACAAAAACTGAATGTATATAAAATTTAATGCAGGAGCGTGCGTTAGGAATTTGCTTTAAAAATTGTCTGACAATTTTGTTCAGTCAGAACTCAGAAATTTGCAATTGGCCTTTGCATTTTGGTATTTTGAGTCAGATGTGTGGCATGCAACGGCGAATGCGCCCACTTGTCGAATGCAAAAAGCTGCGCAAATTACCATACGAAACTCATTTTTATCAATGGGGTCGGCCGTCAAACACACCCAGAAAATGCAAGAAAAGAAACCAAAAAAAAAAACGAATTTATTTCAAAAAGTCAAGCAAAAATGTCAACGAGACGCGACAAAAGACCTTTATAAATTCCAGCAAATGACATTTAAAAGAAAAAAAAAACTATCTAATGAAACGAGCGAAATATCTTAAAGATAAAATATATAATTCGACTAAGGTAAGCTAAACTTATTTAACAAAAGCAAAGCACTAAGATTTTTATTGTTATTTTGCAGCAACATTCAGTCAATGTTTGAGCAATATATATAGCTATATATATTTATATTCATAATTACATATTTTTACTTTAATAATACTTAACTATATATAAACTTAAAGCATGTTTAAATCTGTTTGTTTACCAAAACAAAACTAGTTCATACAAATTAGCTTAGCCAGGCAATCGTCCCGCTTTCTCCTACTCCCACTCCCACTTCCACTCCCACTCCCGCTACCTCTATAAGCTCTACCATTAGCAGTTGCAGACATCAGCAGATATTGGCCATGAACCTTCCTTTTGTTTCGATGATTTATTGTGAGAATTGTTTGTTAGCTCGTCGCATCGAGCTTGAGTCTTACCTGAAAGCAGATAGGAAAAAAAAAACAACTGTTAAAAACCAAATATAAAATATACAAACAATTATAACAATTATGTTAAAAAATAAGTTGTTTCACATTATTTTTTTTTTTTGTAGATTCTGGGGCGTGGCATCTAACAGCAAACAGCAAACAATAGAAGGTCATTTGAGCTGCGGCGCTGCACCTGCCACAGCAAGCGGAACAGTTAAAGCTGGAGAAAGAGCTGCTTTATGGCTATCGGGGCATTGTTATATCATTAACTTGTTCATTATATATATGGATCTGTCCCACATTATAAGGAACCGAAATGCCAAACAAAAACGGCGCTGAGCACAAGTTCACAGGGTAGACGGTCAAGGTTAAAGTTAACATATTTTTAACACTCGCTCATTAAATGAAAAGAGAGTATATGGGTTTTTGGCTTATATTGCATGTTGATGTTTTATATAAGTTATGTATATAAATATATACTCAATTATAGCCTACATATATGTTTTACAGTTTACAGAGCTCTTAGCTTAAGATTCGACTATTTCAATATTCAGCACAAGCTTAACTTTATTGCAGCTGGAAACCTAAAGACTCTGTAGGAGATCTTCTATAACTAAAATTTTTAATATATATTCAAGTTCAGCAAAGACATGAAAAATTGGATTTTTTGATAGTCCTAGAGCAAGTAGATAATCCTTTTGGATTACTCTCAATATTCTCTACAGATAAAGCTATATGTACTACATTCTGCCCATGGCAGATGGGCTGATCAGAAAAAACTCAATCTATCATAGCTTTAACAGCGAGAATTACCAAGTTTTGAATTACGTGTAGCTTTCTCTAAGAATATGCCTATAACTTATATGGATTGACATAGTTTTAGGGCGAGAATTATCAAGTTTTGCTGAGGGACAACTCTCAGCATCCTTAGCAGTTAGAACTATAAATTCTATGGTCTGCAATTTGACAAACTGTATAACAAATCTTTATAGATATGGAAGCTTAAACACTGTTCACAGTGTGGCACTGCCATGTTCTACAGAGTCTGCTATTCGACTGATTTGATAAGAGCAGCAAGTACACATCGCTTCGCTCAAATTGAGGGCATTTTAAAATTACAATCTGTTACTAGGCAATCCTACAGACAAGCGTGATCTCTACAAGCATGCCTGACACCATTCAGTGCCAACAGCATTCACAAAGAGAGCAGAATTGAAAGCGAGTAGCCCAAGTAATGCTTGAGCGCCCCACCTTAATGGCTCTGCAGCTCCTCGCATGTCAAATATGTTGATGCATTGCATTAGCTTGAAGCCGCGCACATCGAAACGAACCAATTCAGCGACCAACACAGTGCAACAAGCACAATTGCAGTCATAAACGTGGACAAGTAATTGCCGTTCCACTGACATCTAACCCACGGGCAAGCAGAGCCGGAGCGACGCAGACCCGTGCCAACAAGCAAAGACATGGCCTGCAACATACTTAAATAAACATATAAAGCTGACAGAGCAGAGAGGGGGCAAGTACAAGATAATAAATAAAGGCTGGCGATGCCACGCCCGCACAATTTACTGGACACGCTGCAAAGATGTTGCAGGCACAGATCGTTGCCGCTCGAACAGGTGGCCAGGTGCAGCAGTGGGCTGGCAGCAGCAGTCAGATATCTATGGTAAGTTGTGGGTGGATTAGGCTCCTGTCCGCACTACTCTAGTCTATATCATACATGGTATATATATCGTCTATATTTTGTATATATGAAAATGTTTTCATTTGTAAGGCATTTAAATTAGTTTGTTTTTTATGTTGAATATATTTTGTCTTTAAAATATGATTTATGTTAGAGACAAAAATATTAAGCTCTCACAAGTTTACTATATGCGTATATAGATCTGCTTAGATCGAGCACTTTAAACAACAAATTTGTTAAAAGTAATCCTCATTCCAGCTGAACTTTCACTTTTTTTGTTAGCGTATTGAAGCTTCGGTTTGGTTAATATTCATTTTTGTTGCTGGCAAAACTATGTTTCATTCAACAAACTGCCACTGCCACTGCCCACATGACCAAGATGTACAACAAACAGCAACAGCAGCAACAACAGCAACAGCAACAGCAACAGCAACATCAGCAACAACATTGGAGTCGGGCGTCTCAAATGCGTTTGCTGTTTTTGGTAATAAACGAAGCGTTAAACAAATTGCATTACAGCAACTACAACGACAACTACTACAACAACAACAATAACAACACTGTCCAAGTTGTTATTATTGTATGCAAAGCGTCATAAATGAGGGCGCTTGGCTGCATCGCCGTCTTGGGCGTAATTACATCAACTATCAAATATGGTCAAAAGAGCGAAAAATTATCGCATATATTGTTAGTGTTGCTGCTGCTGCTGCTGCTGTTGTTGTAATAATAGCTGAACCAACACAGACCACAGAGCAATGGGAAATGCCAGACAAATATCATAGACAAAATGCGGTTGGAAAATTTCAAAACAACATTTTTTCGGCTCTAGAGATTTTCCATTTTCGGGCAATGCAGGAAAAATAATAATTATGAAAGCAATTTCAACTTGATCATAATGAAAGACACATATAGAGCTGATTAACGTCTGATTAATGCTATAAGTGTCATATGTTGTAGAAAACTGAAGCTCAAATATCTTGAAATATATATGAAACAAGTTATTGAAGCAATGAGCCATAGTAAAATTGATATCAGCATATAAAATATATAGGAAAATTGTTTTTAGATCAACTATTATCACATTGCCTATGACTCAAGAATTAGGAACTAATTTTAAGTTCTTAGATCATATACAAGAGAAACGCATATAAATTATTTGATCTAAAATGTTGAACTAAAATTGGATTTTTAGACCAGAGTACTGCAGTAATGCATTAAAATTCCATTAACTTTAAACTAAAAATTCGTCTAAAATTAGTTTTTAGATCATATATGGCAGCAACAATTTGTTCACTTGTACTAAAAGATAAAACAGTGAAGTAAGATTGTAATAAAATTAGCTTTGATCTAAAAGTTGTGATCTAAAATGTTTTTAGTTCAATTACAACTGATATATTCAAAGCGAACCAACATTGACCTAAAATACAGACTATACTTCAATACAAAACACAATTAGCTCAAATAGACTTTGATCTAAATATGTTGCTTTCAAAATAATTATAAAGATCATATTAAAGCATTGACTAGTAGATCTTGAATCAGTAATTCAAACTAACATAGACCTAAGGAACTAATATTATTTATCAGACAGTACGATCAGCTCCATTTGCGGTATGTAGCCGAGCACAACATGAAAAACTCGTTCGATGTGGTGAATTATAGCAAAGGCCCAGCACACACATAAATCAAGTTGAAGTCGAGACAACAAATTACTAAAATCCACTGCACCACAATTACATCCAATAATAATAGAGCACTGCGATCCATATCTACCTAAGCAAGCAGCGGGTCTTACAGTAAAGGAAATTGATCAAATTATAGTCAAGAATTAGAACCGAGCAAGTCAAGGGAGAGGAAGTAATTTGAGCAGCGTTAACTATATATAGACTAAACTATATAACTTGTTTATATTACAATAAAAGTAATAATTGTTACGAATTTAACTAACTAAATGCCCTTCCATAAAAACCTTTTCAGTTTTCTACAATTACAAAAGGTTTTTATAACATTTTCTTGGGTAAATTCAGCAATTGATGTGAGTTTACATAAGCTAATTAAATTTACACTAAACTTTTGCAGAGCTTAAGCGGCTTTTCAGCTTAATTCAAGATTTACAAATTAAGATCTACTTAAAACCTTTAATACCCAATAGGTTTGCACAGAGTTTACAAAAAATGCAATCAGCTAGCGCAGAGCTAGCAAATGACATTGAAATTGCACAACAAACAGCAACAAATGGACACAACATTAGCTGAGGCAATAGCTTAGCTGTGAGCCACTCATTAAGGTAAGCTGCAGACAGGTGTCGATGGGTGGATCCAACGGGCCAACCAAGTCTGCTGTAGGGTACAGCGCGCAATTTGCCATTTCGGCCTCAGTTGAATGAACTGAAACGCCCACAGCTTCCAGCGCAGCTCGGTCGCGTATAAAACTATATACAAATAAGCCAAAGAGCCTGCTCAGTCGCTAAGCCGCCGAGTTCAAAGCCATGTCGTCTCGGCATATGTTGTTGTCGCCAGCTGTCAACAGATAGCATCGATAAGCAGGCAACAAATAAAGCCTAGACAAGAGTCTCCACGCTCATAACTTGCACGTTGATCTACACCATAAAATCTAGCTGAAGTCGAATTCATTGCCGAACTATAGATACACTGTCTTCAGTGAAATGCTGTGAAATTTAATTGAAAATTAGTTTACTTTAGACTTTATTAAAATTAGATCTTATGTATACAATAGAAATATAACAATAGACAGAATTGATTGGCTTCCACAAGCATAATAAAAAATCATTCTACTGACCTCTGCAAGAACATAAAAAGAATCAAGTTTACACATATATTTACACAATATTCAGGCTCAATTCAGTATACGCATACTTGGCTAACAGCTTAATGGGCTGGTAATCATTTTTCAAGGCTTGCAAACTAATCAAGCCATTATGAGTGCCCACAATTTGTGAGGGTAGCAGCAGAGAATTGTCATGAACGCAAGAGATGATTCATATGAGACTCGATATCGTATTGCGCTGCCACAAGCAGCAGGGTCCAGCCAAAGGGGCTGTGCAATTTGTCATTTTGCTGGGCAGAGGTTATCAAAGATATATATATACATATATATAGCGTGTTTGCAGGTGCATCATATCATGGCTTGGCTAGAGTATCGACAGTGTGGCTACGTAGCTAGTCGCAAACGGATGTCGGCACTTTTTGGCGGCAAATTTATGTTGACCAAAACGCGGGCCACACTTTTCATGGCTCATGGCAACTGCGAGCGTCGAACTGTAAAATTATGAAGATGCCCTGCCGACAAACGGAAGCGCGTGTTTAAGGTTATGAGCACAGGGCCAACAACAGCTGGCAGGGAAACTCACCATTAATCGGATTCCGAAATTACTCTAGCGTACTTCGAAATTTAAGTTTCTTAAAGTATTTAATTTGAACTTTTGGTAGAGAGTTTAGAGATAGTTTTCCAACTTAACCAGTAGCTTGGATGAACAGTTCTAGCAAATAAACTCAGCATTAATCTAGGCGACTTCGAAATTGAAACTCACCATTAATCAATGAGAACAGATTACAAGACCTTATAAAATACAGAGCTTTCCAGTTGACCACTGACTGCAGCAAGTACCGAAGAAATCATTTATCATTTATCAAGTCGACTCCGAAATAGAAACTCACCATTAATCAAGTTGGCACCGAAGTTGCAATTTCTAAACTAAATCAGTTAGAGCTCCACGTAACACTGCATCGAGATCTGAGAACACCGGCAGCACGTCTAGTAGAAAAACTTAGTCATTAATCTAGCTGACTTCGAAGTCGAAACTCACCTAGTCTAGAGGACACCGAAGCTGAAGCTTCTCAAAATACTCGATGACAATGTGCGGGTACAACTCAATGACACCACTCAGCGACACTGCATCGAGTACCGAGATAGCTTTCCATTTGACCACTAGATAGGTTTCGCCTCTCATCTTGAAGGATTTCAGTATTTTCTCCAACGCCAGACCACGCTCAATGCCCTGGGGTCGCGCTGGCAGCTGCAGCGCATCATCCCAGTTGCCCATTGGTCTGGCATGACTGTTGCTGCTGCTGCTAGGAGCTCGGGCACTCTTATTGCTACGGGCACTGCTGCCGCCGCTGCTGCTGCTCCTGCTGCTGATAGAGCTCTTCTCCGGGGTTTTGGGCGTGCTTGGCAATCGAATCGGAATTGGACTGTTTGGCATCGGCGACACGATTTTTATATGCTCAACTGCCAACTCCTTGATGATGGGAGATCTTGATGTATTTCGTTGGTTAACGACTTCGAGGTGATTCAGGATTTTATCCGCGTTGTCATTCGGTTTTGGAGAGGTGTCCAAACAGGGCAGCGGACCAACACTGTTAAAGCGACTTTTTCTGCTTGATTTCGGTTGCTTGTTGCGGCTTCTTTCCTGACTTGGCACTTTAGGCTTTTCCACTGGATCACTTTCGTGCATCTATTGGAATACGTTGGTTTGATCAGAACCCTAAACTTTACCGAATGGTAACTTACTTGCTCCATGACCTCCTCTATACCACTCGAATGCATGGTTTGACGGCGAAGTTTGGGAATTTCCGGTGATACGGATGACAGCTTTGGGATTTCCACTTGCCTTTGCGTCTGGGGTACACTTGGTTGTTTAGGGGGCGTTGCGTTAGCGACCGGAACATTGTCATTTCTGTCAGCTGCTCTTCTGTCATGCCACTTGCGTGCTTGCTCCTTCAGAGACTCGATAGAAGTCCGTGCATAAATACTGTTAGTAATGATGTTATTATGATCCACAACGCTAATTGGTTTTGGTGCAGGCGGCGGTGGTTCATCATCGGAATCATCATCGCTGCTCAGATTGAGTTTGGGTGGCAAATTCAGATTGTTGAAGAAGGGATTAGGCTTTGGAACTGGCAACGGGTTTGGAGTTGGCTTCGGCTGCTTGACAATTTCCTCTTCACTTTCGCTGCTGCTGCTGCTGCTGCTACCTCCACTGCTGCTGCTGTTGCTGCCACTGCCGCTGCCGCTGCTGCTGCTACTGCTATGACCACTGGAGCTTTCACTGTCGCTGTCACTGCTGCTGCTGTTGCCGCTACTGTCGCTGCTGAGCATAAGATCCTTGCATAGTTTTGGCATTTTGGATTTAGTCTGCAGCTGTGACTGTTCCTTACGCACTTGTGGTTCCCGGCCTGGCGGCTTCTGCAGTAGCTGGCTTCGTTCCTTTTGCTCACGAAGCTCTCTTTCGTGCATCTGCAGTTGCTTTTTTTGCTGGGGTCGCTGTTGCTCTCTTTGCAGTTCGCTCTGCTCCCCTCTCTTCTGCAATTCGTGCTTGGCTTCGAACACATTAACAGGCTGTTGTGGTGTCATAACGGGACATGACTGTTGTTTGTTCTCTTTGGCACTTTCAGTCGAGCCGGACTGAGATGTGTTTAATGATCGCGTCGGCTCGGCCGCTTGATGTTTGGGCTTTTGGCATTGTTTGGAATATAGAGCTGCCTCAAAGTCCGCTAGCATGATCATGCAATCTCCGCTTAAGTTCTCAATGGGCTCCCAGGTGCTTTCCTCTATTGGGTACCCAACCCACTTTAGCAATAGTTGCGCTCGCCCACTCACGTAGCGCTTCTCTAATATTCTTTCCACATTGTGTGTCCATTTCTCTGGCTCATTTTGTTTAGCTTTGCCTTTCTTCTTTTTTGGTTTTTTAGCGTTATTATTGGCTAATGCAGCATCGGGGGGCGAATCGTTTGCTTTTCTCTTGCCAGAGCCCGCTGACATCTGATACTTGCGATTGCCCTCAGACATTTCTAATGCTTATTCAAATTGGATAGCTTAATTTGAAGAAACCTATGCAAACTGCAACGAACACGGACACACGACCACGGGTCAAATGAAAACAAGTAATTTATACATTTCTCACCTTCAGCAGTAAACAAAACTCGAGAAAACGGCCAATAAGAGAAAAGAAAAAAGCTAAGCACTTAAATAACTCACTCCTGCTTTGATCACAAAACGTAGGAAATGTGACTTGTGATGCCAGATTCTCTGTCAACTTAAAATATCGATAACAGATGATTGACCTGCCAAAACGCTCTTGCACTTTAGAGTCTTATCGATATACGATTCACAATAAGCAAAATCAATAGAATTATAGACATAATAGAAACGCACACTATACGCTTTCAGTATTTTGAATTTTCCGTTAAAATATGTTTAAATTATTTTTGAGCATTTTGTAAAAGATTTCCTTTTCTATTTAAAAGCACAAGCCAGCAAAAAAACAAGTGCTACTCACAGTGCACACAACTGTATATACTCTATGTTGGTTCAACAAGAAGTGAAGTGGCGAAGGCAGTATAAAAGCATGCATAAGTATGTATATACATATATACATATATACATACATACATACATATATAGTTTACATACTATTATATTATATACATATATACTAAATTACATCAAAAATACTTTATATTTATATGTGTTTCGCCAGCAACCCAGGGTATTTTCAAGCCGTCTCCTCTACATAAACAGTTATAGGCTCACTTAGACTTGAAACTAGTTTTTTCGAACTCCTTTTAGAGCTCACAAGCTGCAAAAGCAATTGCACTTAACTATAGCGGAAATAATGTGCACTGTAAGAAAAAAAAATAATGTAAGTATTTTAATTGGCCATTGGCAAAAATGCCAGCATGTTGATTTCTTATACATTATCTTTTTGTTTATGTTTTTACTTTTGGCATGTTGCTACAATGGCATGGCTGTATGTTAATGTAACTTTTCACTGTTACAAAGCGCGCTACAGTTTTACATGTGTGTGTTTGTTTGCACATGCAAGTATCTACATACGTACATTATGTGTGTTGCCATAGTTCGTGGACAATGTCATTGGAATGTTTCTCATTATTAAAGAGCAGAAAGCCGCAAATTAAGAAAAAGAAAACCCGCTGTCAATTACTCAAACATGTGTGAAGTCAACAAATAAATAAAGTGTACTTTCCGCCTTTTTATAGGGCTAGTTATTCGTTATATTTGACAGCGTACTAGACATGTTTATCAACTCAAAAAAGCTCATGTGTGACAGTTTCATAAAAGAGAACGTGTGAGAGAGGGAGGCAGGGAAAAAGAGAGAGATCGGCACTTGTTTAACCTGCTATGTTTTGTGCCCACTTCTTTCACTTTCTTTAAGCATGCAGCAGCCGTATCTATAGTGGCATCTCTATCTAACACGTACGTGTATATGTGCGTGTATAATTTAATTCGATAAAATTGTGACGAACGCAGCTGGAAAAAGTGAAATGGCGCACATTTTGAGTGCTACAAGGGTAACCTCAAGGGTTTTCAAAGTCAGCCCATGAGCGGATTCACTTTCGTTTTCATTATTGTTACAAAATATCATCAGCTACCTATAGACAATCTAAATACACAGACACACACAGACGTACTTGTGTACATATTTAGTGTTTTAATTTGCATAGTTGTTGGCAAAAAAACTTGTTTTCTTTTTGTGTGGCAACACGCGCGACAAAATGTTAGTATATGAAATGAATGTAGATTTCCAAGAGTTGTATTTCTTGATTTCGAATTAATAATAAGTATTTATCTATATGTAGTTATGTGGCTTTGTATGTTTGTTTGTAAATTATTCCACAGAGCTCATCAGCTCTTCATTAGCTAAGTTAATTTCATTAGCGTTGTTTTTCGTTTGACTGAAATTCATTTGCTTTCTGTGGTTTTATACGCTGTCTTAATTTTTGTCTCGGTGTCGAATTTTATGTTAGTAGAAAGGTTTTGTCATTTTCTGTTGTTGTAAACATGTTACGTAAGAATTTTTGATTTACATACAATTTTTTCTTTTCGTTTGCTTTGTTTTCTATTCATTTTGAAATGGTCGTTTGGGCAGTTTGTCGTATTTTTTAATCAGTTTAAGTATTATGTCAATATATAATTATATCTATCATTGACATCATGCTTTTACATACATATTTGCCTGTTAATGTATGATTTTCATTCAATATTCAATATGCAAAGATTAATTGCACATTTATCATGCATCGTTACGGTGTGATTTGTGTTATCTAATTACAACACCCTTAATTTTCAACATAGTGGCAGCTCTGAGACAGTGTCAAAAACAAAATGGAGAAGAGGAAATGAATGTTCAGAAAAACTATAGTTAAACAACTGAATTGGAGCTGAGTTTATGTTGTCAGTCCTTTTAATTTAATTCGAATTCGAATTCATACAAAGAACTTAATTCGAATTCGAATATTCAGTTCAAGCAAAGAACAATTTGTTTAGTGTTGCAATACATAAGAATTCCCTCAAATTGCATTCGAATTTAACCGTTAAATCAACAAGCAACTTGTTGTAACGCATTGCACACAGGATGACTGTGATTTTATTGACACATTGACATTATAACACACTTAAAAAGCGAAGTCATCTTATTACAACAATCGTCGTAAAAGGTTGCCGAAAAAGGGGCGAAAAACAACGGTAACTTATAAGAGGCAAATACATGCATATATATGTATGTATACACGACTTGCGTAAATAAATACATACGTATATATGTATGTATTGTATTTGAGTATTTAAGTATTTATTTAACAACGATATTTTATTTTGCTAATATTTGTATATGTTGTACAGAGTTAAGCTTCAGCTGCGGAAGTACGTGTTTTATTTATTTGTGCGCTTATTATTGGTTTAGTTTTCAGACTTTCTGTTGTTTTTTCTTTTTTAATTCTTCGTGACAAATGTCGACAATTCTTTTTGTTTAAACTCTTAATTTTTAAACACGCGTTTATTGTGTCATCTCATTTTTTTGTTGCTTTAGGCTCTTCAGCTGTTAGACCTCGACGAAGTTCCGGCTGGCAAAGGCCGAGATAAATTAGCATGACGTGAATCAGCAGCAGAGGTAAAATGTATTCTTTATGCTGCTTTCAATTAAACAAAAAATGGTACCTAAAAGATAACAGACACGAAATAAGAACAACAATTACGAGTGCATGACTATCAGATACCCTCTGCGCACTACTTGTCTCTAATAAGAATAAGAAATTAATATCGATATGCGAAGGGAATAACACGATCGCTGATTTAGAGCTGCCTGTTATGGCAAAGGACAAAAGCTATCGATGATTTGTCCTGAGCGCAATTGCACTTCTCTAGCTCAAACGAAAACACGAAAGTAGCAACGGGCAATGCCTGTGACAATAATATGACTAAAAAGACCGCAGGTTGTCGAAAAACTCAATTTTAATTTTTAGTCGTATACCTACTTGTTGTGTGGCGGTACATAAATATAATAAAAAAAATCATATGTAAAACTCACTCACCTTGTGCGATGCTGCCGCTGACACAGCAAAAGACGATGAAGAAGCTGAGGCTGACGCTGCGGCACCGTTGTGGCGTCAGCAGCGACGTCGACGGCGACGCCGGCAGTGACGCCCGCTTTGGCTTGACAGGCATTTTTTTTGTATAATTTGTAGCTCAAATGTTTTCCAAAAGATTTTTGTTTCTTTCAATTTTGCAACTTGCTTGTAATTTTTAATTTTTTTTCGTAGTATTTAGCAAACAATTTGTAATTTATTAGCAATTTATTTGATCGCTCAGTGTTTGCATTTTTGTTGTTTTTTTTTCACATTTAACCAAATTTTAAGCTACTCGTTTAACAGGTTTTTATATATTTTTATATTTTTGCTATATAATTGAATCAAAAACACACACATAAAATATTGGCAAATAATTCAATTTAGTTACCGTTATAAAGTAATTAAAAATCAAAATTATGATTTCATTATTTTGGTCGAAAAATAACGAGAGAATCAAAAAGTTCAAGGTTTATTTAAGGTATAAAAAATGCAAGATTTGGAATTTAGAAATATATTTTTAAAAAACTTAGAACATTTTTGCAAAGTTAGACTTTTTATATTTTCTTTTTTTAAAATTACTTTTTTATTCTTTATTTTTGGGTAAAATAATTTCAATATTGGAATACGATATACGAAATTTATGCACAATACGATACGATATACATTAATATCGTATATATTGAAAAGCATTTAATAGTTCTGTTTACACTTTTTTGACATTCGTTTTTTGCTTTTTTTGCTTTGTCATTTTTATTTATAAACATTTGCCATAAATTAAAGCTAATTTTTTAAAGAAACACAAAAAGTGTGAAACATGTTTCGATCCACTGTCCATGTACAGGGAAAGAGAGTGAGAGAGAAAGAGACTGGGAGAGAGTGAGGGAATAAGAACAGCCATTATGGCTGACCTTCGCTTATTACTTAATGCTTTTGCTGCTGCTGTTGTTGTTGCAAGCTTTTAATTATTATTTTTAATTAATAGGTTTTTTTTATTCTTCGGCAGTTTCTAAGTGGGGAGGTCAGGCAAATCGGAAAGACTATGCTAATTTTTCATTGGCTAAGAACATAAACAATCCATAGGCTTGGGTGCTTTTAATTGGCTAACAAGTGCAGTGAGGCAAAAAATAAAAAATGAAGAAGCATGCACAGTGTGACCACACAGCGCGATTCGAGTTGTTAAAAACCAAACTTGATTTCAATGCAAAGTGAAATTGTCCACACATAAACACATAAACATACATATATGCATGGCCACACACACACACATAAGTAACAGCGCATACAAACAAATTCGAAAACAACAACAACAGCCACAGGCGTAATGACCGAGTGACTTTACTGTTAACTGGGCAAGGAGGAGGGGAGGGTGCACAGGGTTTTAGTCTGCGATGACGTTGGGCTCGAGCGTAATGCAAAATTACGCGCTTTGCATAAAGAAGACAACGAACGAACCGAATTCCGATTTGGAGCTGTGCTCTGCTAATGGAAACCGTTCGATGACCGAACAAACGAGCGATCGGCCAGTAAGGTTGCGCCGGACGCACTTGCTCCACTCAGGCATTCAAAAATACCAATACACTCACACGCACAGGCACAGCCACAGTCACTGTGTTGGGATACACGTAAAACGCAGTCGAAATCGAAGTCGAAGTCGAACCGTGGTCAACAACCGAGCTGAGACGCGTTTCGAATTGAACTGAAACTGAAGAATGGTAGCGCACGAACGGTGAGCGAGCAAAGCGACAGTTAAAACACGTTTTAGGCATATGCAAGACAGCTTAAAAGACACTAAGAGAGCGAGAGCGGGAGAGGTAGCCGAAGCCAGAGAGCGTAGTGTGAGTGGGAGAGTCAAGAAGTTGAAGTTAAGCTCGCAGCGCGTGGCTGCTTTTAGCACTCACATTAGGCCAAGACATGGGCTGTTGTTTTCTGTTTATTATTCAGGGTTGTCAAGTGTTCGACAGACTGTTAGCGATTCTAGTTTTACGAACTTTTTATACTTACCAAAGAAACCGAAATATTTCTAAGCTGTCAACTAGAGTGTTTATATTGAATTAATTAGATCTGATAATTTGGATTTAATTGATGTTATTGGAATTGATATTTAAACCAACAAATTCGAACTATTGAGATTAATGCGTTTGTAAACAAAAACTCAATAATTTATACGTTATCGATAAGATCTACAGCCATGTTCACTTAATGGCTCTAAATATTTATTAGTCGACCTCTTTATTTGGACATCGGGCGTTCTCAACTCTAAATTTGTTTTAGATCAAGAAGCATAAATTGAATTCAATTTTAGCTTAAATTAACCGCATCTATATTAGAGATCTCCGTATACAGATAGAGGGTATATATTATTCGATCACTCGTCTATTTGACAGTGAAATGGCCAAAAAAGTAAGTACAACAACCCAGTATAAGACAATACTTCGAATTTATTGTGACCTACGGCATAGCTAACGCATATTTCGTGCTTGTTTAGCCAAGACACAAACCGCAATGACAGCTTTTTAAAGTTTTAACAAATTTGCGGAAGAGATCGAAGAGAAATGCTTTTATTAAGCAATTTCTATGTACAATAAGATATTTTTGTTACTAAAAATTAAAATTATAATAAATTAATTTGTTTCTTTTTATTGTTATTTTACTTCTTCAAAAAGTTTTCGTAATTGTGCTTTTTCAGCTAGGTATTTCAAACGTGCTTGTCCTAAAAGATTTATTAAAATGAACTACTGAACTTGTTCAATAAAAAATTCAATTTGGTAACAAAGGATGTCTTGTACTTCGTAATTCATTCGTGCGTGAATGACTTAAGCTGAAGAACCACCCGTTCTGCGCTAGCTCATTAAATTATCGATATATTGAGCGACTTGAATTAATGGCATTGTTAGGGGTATTCATTGTTGCAGCGGAGCAAAACGACACACATTTCTAGCCATCTGCAGTGGCGCAGTTAGCAGTTAGCTGTCAGCTAGCAGCTCCATGGACGAGGATGTGACATAAGCGACGGACTATCAGAAAGACGATGAACTACAGAAATATGCAAATGATATGCTCCAGCTATCTATTCTGTTTCGAGTGCAAAAAAAGGAGAAACTTTGCCGCATGCGGCACGGCCAATTTGTTCACCTGTAGCCCAGCGTTTGCTATGACTATGCAAGGTTTTGATGACCCAGCTTTCGTTCTCGCTCCCTCACTCGCACACACATGTATGTGAATGGGTGCGTGACTGCTTGTGTGTGTGTATTACAGCTTGAAGTTTTCGATATTTTCATTTGGCCGCTGGCAGCTGAAGTTGACAGCATTGAGACAATTCTTCGCGCAATTTCTTTCGCAGCTTAAATCGAAATATTTGCGCCTGACACATTTTTTTCTATTTTTGTGACACTTTCAGTTTTCATCTCATATTGTTATAACTGCCTTATTTTCATGTCAGTTCTATTTGTATAAAAAACGCGCAAGATGAGCAAAAGCAAAGAAAATAGAGAGTGAGAAGAGAATGAACTCGACTACTAGATACCCTAATCACTAGCGAGTTGCTGTTTTAATTCGGTTTTTAGATTATAAATATAAAATGAAAATTACATTATATTTATATTATTAAGTATGTATTTATGAACCTTATGAAGAGTATATAGAATTTGACAAGCAGGTATCACATAATTTAGCACAAACAGGTTATACCCATTCACAAGTGGGTTTAGGGTATTAAAAAAACGATTTATTTCGTGCATGTCTTTGACCTCGACAGTTGCTCTTCCTTCTATGAGTAATTGCGTGTGTGTGTGTGTGTGTGTGCGCCCGTATGCTAGTGTGTGGGTTTGGATTTTGGCAACTCAAGCTCCAAGAAACTCTCAAAATAAACTACTCTCTGACATTTAGGGTTGCCCTCTGCAAACATATACATAAATAAGCATAAATACATACATACATACATACTTATGTTACATACATACCTAAATCCTTAGCTACTTACATGCAAAATATAAGCAGCATTCAGCTTTCGAGCAGCCATTAGGAATATATTTTTGTAAACCATGCAAAGTGGATTTGCCACATGAGAATTTCTAGAAAAATATATTTAAAGACTATTATGTGTTTGTCAACATCAAATTGGTTTTTATTTTATTCTATACATCACACTATTACAAATGGCAAAGGAATTTAGTAGCAGCGAATTGGATTACGCTACACTAACGTACTCAAGTTCGAGTCCGAATTCGAATTCGAGCTTACTGAGCAGCTATGCTTCAGTTTCTATCTTCTTCTCGCTCTAACTAATGCTCTCACTTTTAAGATATTTGACGTTTTTAATACAAATTCGAACTCGAATCAGAATTCGAATTAACTAAGCAGCTGTACTTCTGACTCTATCTTTTGCTCAAATTTTAGCAAGTCTCTTTCAACAGACGAGATCTCGGGGAAAATGAGTTATTTTAAAAATTTGAAAAGGGGTTTGAAGCTAATGTATATACTTATCATATACCTGCAAGTTATATGAACTCAAATGTACCCAAGCATATGGCTTTAACACTTTTGGGTATACTCTAGTTTTAGTGGCAGCATGTTTAGACTCTGGGCTAACATATTAATTCATATTTATTTCTATTTTATAGTCAAGTACATATCTTAGACATGTTTAGTTGCTGGCATTAAGTGCAAATGATGTGTTAAAACTTTACGAAAATATTCCATTTACATGTTCATAAAATGTGCCCAAATAAGTATGCCACAAAAAATTTCATAACTCACATGCTATTAAAGGCGGAAGAATGTGGAATGTGCCAAAAAGTGGTCTAGGAACACGTACTAAACGCTCCCTTGGGCTGTCCCTTGTCTGCCTAATATTCCCCGGATAAAATTAATTTGTCATTATTTTGCATGCAGTCGAGTGGAAAGCCAACTCCGCAGTAGAAAACTTGGCCAACAACTGGAAAAGTTGTGCGAAAAACGGTCACGATTTCAGTTGTCCCTATTAAAGTTGGTCAAATCTCAATTTCAGCTTGGCCAAACAAAAAATGTATGCAGATTTGTTTGGATGGCTCTTCTATTGATATCAAATAGAATGATATATGATATATGGTATATGATATATGATATATGATATATGATATGTTTACCCATAATATTTTACATCTGGCCCACAGTGCAATATGG